ACACGGAGCAAAGAGAACAGGGCGTCACAGGAACGCATACACGCTGATGAATAGAAGAGGGGCTTTAGAAACTGAGGGGCAATAGCAACACAAGCAAAGCCTGGGGTGTCAGACTGACAATGACCATTGTTCCCCTTTGCACTGGGTACGATGTGACCAGACACACACAGAGGAGCTGGGTTCATCCTACCACAAACGGTGCTGACATAAGTCACTTCCCACCACATAAATCTCTGCTCCTGGGCGTTAGGTTGGAGTTGACCTCATTAGCACAAGCCAAAAGTGTTCTTCAAGAGACACGCTGGGTTAGAAACTCCTTTAAGTATTCCTAGAGACGAACACCCCACGCTGTAATTAAAGACGTTATAATTAGTGGCTTGATTCCCTTTGCTTTGACTTCACTTTGGTTCATTTCTTTATTTACTTCTGCATTTTGGAAGGGGCTGGAAGTCAAATTCCACTTTGTCATCTGCTCCCGCTGGGAGCTGTGCTGTTCTCCTGGAGCTGCCATGGAAATGCTGGCAATGGAGGTGCCAGAATCAGCAAGCAATATCCACGATTGAAGGGCCAGGTCAAACATAAAGGCAGTTTGCATTTCTGCACCACGGGCAGTTCTGCAAAGTCCTTGGGGGTGAAAGAAATATGTTTTCTCCTTCTTGGCTTGGCCTTTCACTGCTAACAAGTCAGAATGAATGACAGGCATCCTTCAGAGTAAAACAAAGGTAAGAAGTGAATAGAAAAGCTTTTTGCTTGGTGAATGTTGTATTTTTAATCATACTTGTCAGGTGGAGAACAGAAAGAACCCCTCCAAAGCCACTGTTTGCCCACACAATTGCAGCTCTGTTCACTTACACCGTGATGTCTGAAATTGAGCCAACCTGTTGTAGTGCACATTAATGATTAACCAGGAACACATGTGTGACCCACACATGTCTTGGCAGCTTCCTCAGGCAGACCACTCCAGTTGAAATCATCTAACTACACTTAGAGACCACTGCATGGAGACACACAAGCTTCATGCTACCTAGCTGGGTAATGATTTCTGTATGATAGACAAGGAAGCTCAGATACAAGGATGTCTGGAACCCACGTCTTCAAAAGCATCCTCTACAAGTGTCTCAAGTTCAAGTGTCCAGCCTAGAGTGGCTGACCTACAGGGAGAGCTGAGCATCACTTTATCTGAAGTCAGTGGTGGCTGCAGGCTATTAGCACCTTTGGAATAAACTACTTTGGGTCAATAAATCTCACTGGGTTTAACTGAGGTCGAGCAGAGGGGCTGAAAGTGCCCCGGAACAAGCAGTTTGTGCTTATCTAGGCAGAGCCAGGAAGAGCTGAAGCATCCAGAAAGGCTATGGGGCTACGGAACAGAGAAGAAAAGAAGGTCGTCTCTGAACTTCTCCAGGCCCTTGAGGGGCCTCAAAGGAAATGTCTTGACTTCTCCTCCCAACTTTCCTTCCCCTTCCTCATCCCACCTCTATTCTTAGCAGCTTTGTCTGAGAGCTGGAAATAGAGCAATGGTTTCCTAATTCCTCACCTCCCGTTACCTCATATTTTGGGTCAGACCACTCAGGGTGTTGGCAGAGGTTTTAACCTCACAAGGAGTTGTTCTTGTTTACACAAAGACTGCTTTCCCATTAAGTAGGTTTTCCTTGGCTACTGGGACATTGGCTATAGGCATGAGATCAGTCTGATTTGGTACCAAAGATTTACCTCCTCCTAACAACATTACAGGGACTGAAAATGCCCAGATCTTCAGCTCGACGCTCACCAGTGCGCAATCAGTGCCTGTTACCTGTTCTGATGCTCCACAAACCCTGCTGTTGGCACAACACACAAACCAGAACTCACTGCTCTTCCTTCCCTGCTGCATCCAACAGGACCAACAAATTACATCTCAAGATGAAACTGGCTCAACAAGGCGGGCAGCTTGCAGGGCTGCTGGCAAGGGGAGTCTCACCTGCACTGCTGCCAGCAGACAGCAATAGAAGATACCCAGTCCCCAGCTCTGCTGTTGGGATTCAGTTCCCACTGGAAAAACAAGTGGAAAATACTGACGCCCTCCTTCCTTAGTCCCATTACTACCTACTCTATCTACCCCATCTAATCATCATGACATCTGAGTGCCTTTGTGTGTCAGCTTCCTGTGAAGCAATCACCTAAATCCCTCTTGGAAACAAAGCAGACCCTGCTGAGGAACTCACAATAGGTGCCTTTCACTCGCAGGACAACCTTGGCCTCTGTGGCACTTACAACAAAGCTTCCATATGTGCACCAGCATGGGCTGATCAGTCAGATCAACCCCACACAGCATCAGAGCCTGGATATTTGTGAGCACGGAGCAAAAGAGCCTCACGAAATTCCTCATCTTCCTGACCAATTGTTCAGAAAAGATAAAACTGGAAATGCTCCAGCACATACAGCACATACCCATCCCCGTGGGTTGGTGCCACAGCCTTCACCCATCCCTGTGGGTTGGTGCCACAGCCTTCACCCATCCCTGTGGGTTGGTGCCACAGCCTTCACCCATCCCTGTGGGTTGGTGCCACAGCCTTCACCGAACCCTGTGGGTCTGGTGCCACGGTCATCACCCATCCCTATGGGTCAGTGCCCCAACCTTCACCCCCCACCATGGGTCAGTGCCACAGCCTTTACCCACCCTTGTGGGTCTATTTGGGGCGATAAAAGAGAAGTCCCAGCTCTGAGGGGTGATGTCTGTTGGTCGGCCCCATTCTCAGAGCCTCCCCAGCCATTGTTTGCTCTTCAACCCCAGGCCAGGGCTACTTCTTCATTTTTCCTGTGGCAGATATCCTGTTTTTTCCCCTCCCTGGGGCAGGGGTCGAGGATGGTAAGTTCTGTTCTAACAGGAGACAAGTAAGCGATAACATTTGGGCACCTACAGTGAAGAGGTATTTCTGTGCCCTGACTGGGATTAGATACAGAATGGATCAATGAATGATCCCACTGTTTGACTGTTATAGCATCATTCATTAGCGCTAAGGTTTCAAGCTGAATCAACAATTGAGTTAGGAGATTGAAAGAATCGCCTTCGGTATTTGAAATAAATGGTAACAGGCCTGTGAAAGTCCCCTGAGATGTCTCTCTTTCTCTCCCTATATATATATACATCACTCTTGCTGCACATTTCAGACGAGGTGAAAGTTGCTGAGCTCCTGCATCCAAAGCAGGAAAAGCAAGAGGGAAGAAAGAGACAAATGTATTTCGGGTTCATCTATCAAAGCACTTCAAGAGCATTCCTGATTGCAGGATCCAGGCACTAACTTGTTATTCAGGCTCTTAGCATCTCTCTCATACATAACAATGCAAAAAGAGCTAATAATAAACACTCTGCCCCTCCTATACACAAACACACACACAGGCACTTAGGAAGCACTTGTAAATGAGCAGCACGGAGTCCATGCACTGCTGCTGTCACAAACCCAGGGTGAGCTCACTCCCAGCTAACTGCTTGGTGCACAGAGCCCCCACATTTACCCACAGGACTTAGGCACCAAGTTTTAACTCTCAGCTCTTCCCCATCCTTTCCTTTCTGGATCAAAGACGCCTCCACTCACTACTGATTTGTTAAGAAATCAAATGTGAAAGAAGAAAGCAATTCCACAACTGGGCAAAGAACCGTTGTGGGCAGCCAGTGATTAATTAGCATTAGAATACCAGGCAGCCTGGTTTCCCTGCAGAACCTTGGGTTGATAGCTCTTTTTTTAGTTCTCTAGAGGAAATATTCCGGTTGGCATAGGACCATGCAAAGCATCACTGCCAAAACCTTTCCTCCTTCTGTCTGAAAGGCAGGGAGTAGAAGCAGCTATAAAATGCCCTGCAGACCAAGACTTGTGTCCTACAGCCCAATCAGTGCACTGTCCTCCCCATGGGGACAGGTATTTCGGTGCTTGCCCGCCTCCCAGCTCTGTGTTAGTCCCATTGCCTCTTAGTCTGGCAGGAGTAAACCCCAAGGCCAGCTCACTTGGACCCATATCCCTCTCTTGGCACGATTGCAGGGTCATTTAGACACAGGATGATGTTTAACCTGTTGGGTGATCAAGGAGAAAATTTACCTCCCTGCTACAGCTTGAACAACTTTTTCCTGTGACTGTTGCCCAGCTCTATAAAATCCACACAGCTCTTCCTGTTGGCTTGCAGAAAAAGAGAGCAATAAAACAATATCCCCATTTTTATGAAGTAGCTCCCTACATAACTAGTGGCAGCGTAAATACGTGCCAAGCCAGCAGGCACTGGGAGAAAGAAGATCATAACGATGGGAGGAACAGAGGTGGCTGGCTGCAGCACAGCGTAATGAGCACACAATCAGCATAGAGAAATTTCTCTAATGGTGGTGTCATTTAAATAATCCCTTTACTGTAATAGCTTTCTATCTGGTTCCTTCCCCATGATTAGCACTGAGGTCAGTTTTGAAATCAGAGTTGCCCGTGTAAATGCTCCCTGAGTCATTTACTAACTATAAATAATTAACCCCCAAAGCAAACAGCAGCCAAAATCAATGCTGTCAACCCGTATTCTGCCTGTTGCCCTGACATTACAGCTACTACAGCTGAAACTGAAATCAAGTGCTGATGTGTAACACGTTCGCACTGAGAAAGTCCGAAAGAGGAGACATCCACCCCTGAGCCTGCATCCCATCCCTCCCGGATTGCCTGGGCCATTAGTGTGAAGGCAGTTTACTGCTGAAAGGCATCAGCCACCTGCGTGGGGCACTCGGCAGCACACTGAGCTGCCAGCCAAGGCAGCTGGGCATGAAGTGACAGCAGCTCCATGGTTGACATCTGTAAGGCTGACTCGGGCGAGCAGAGGTTTGGAGAAGACAATCTTTACGCTAAGGGCTCTCGCAGATGAGAGGAATCCCTTGGTGGCTCTGTAAGGCTCCGTGCACGCAGCCCTGCAACACCAGTCGAGCCATACATAACAACTACACCGACAGAGTCTTATTTACTGATGGTGAAGAAGGACATTTGCTTGGAAGTGCTCACCTGGGAGTTGCTGCTGGCTTCCAATACCTGCAGAAGAGATGCTGCCCATCAGCATTGACGATGTGGGGCAGGTCCTTGTACGGGATGTTTTGAGGACTCCGCTTTGGCGAACTTTCCTCTGGCATTCTGGCAGAGTGACCTGCACGGTGTTGGAAGAGACAAGACATGCTTTAAACCGGGTGAAGGCAAGGAAGCGCCGACGGGCTTGGCAGCCACAGACATTGAAAGTCAGCCAGCAAGGCAAGCACGGCTGATGGGAGTCTCCCTCCAAAGCCCCAACCAAAAAGCCCCCCAAAATTGTACTGCTTTAAAACAGCAATGTAGCATTTTGTGTCCAGAAAAGCCTCACATTTTGGGAGGAGGGCGGGGGGGGGGGGGGGGTAAAGGGGGGAAAATCAATCCACCATCGCTACTTCATTAGAGCTTTCTCTCCCCCACTTCTCCCATCTGTGTTTATTTTGCATCATTTTGTCAAACGGCTCCTAAAAAGAATATTGGAGCTGCAATCAAGTGCGGATTGTGCAGCAGCAGCCACAGAGCTGAAAAGACAGCTGCATGAAAGATTTATCTCTGCCTCAACGTCTCCAAAGCCCAGCGGCGGGTACGCAGCAGAGGCATCTCCCACCGTGTCATCATTAAGATCTCCTCTGACATCTCCGACAGGAAGGTGGCGGCGGTGGGGAACGCGGCGTTTCCAGGAGGATTCGCGACAAACCTGCTTTCATCCTGTGCGAAGGTTTGCATTCTAGTGAGGAGCCGGCATCGCAAGTCAGGCACAAGCACAGCAGAAGCCTTTTCGCATCTCGCTTACGGAGGCGCGCTCGCACTCCGCCAGCCGCGCAGCGCCCGCGGGTCGGTCCCGGGTGGGTGCCTTGGGGTCGGGGTCTCCCGGGCGGCCCCGGGGCTGCCCGCTGCTCCTCTCCCCGCTCTTTGGGGTTATTCACCCCTTCGTGTTCATCACTTTTCTTTCCCTCTCTTTTTTTGCCTCCCTTCTCCACCAAATCGCGTGCGGGGGCTGGAGGGGCGGTGGTGGGAGGGGAGGCTGGGAAGGGTGGGAGAGAGGGAGGGCTGAGTGGGGAAGCTGCGGTCCACTAACCAGAAGCTGCTGCCCGCCCATCAAAGGCACCTTGAGCACACGCAGCGGAGCCGCTCACAAAGTTCCTGCCGCTGCAGGTTGTTTGCAACTTTTACTTCCTTCCTGCCACTTACAGTTCGGAGGCCGCGGCGGCGGGGGGAGGCCGGGCAGGGAGGGGGAGACCTGTTTTCTCAACGCGATCCCTGCTGCGGAGCCATCTCGTGTGTGAGCGACTGCCCCGGCACCGCGCTGCCGGGCGGGGAGGGAGGGAGGGAGGGGACGAGGAGGAGGAGGAAGAAGAGGAGGAGGGATCCAGGCACCGACGCGATCGCAGGTCGCAAAGCCCCGCACACGCATCCTCCCCGCGGGGCTGGGACCGGAGCGGGGCGGCTGCACCGCATCCGAAGGAAGGATGGAGGATGGATGATGGGCGGGCGGTGCCGCCGCTATCCTCCGGCCCCGCGGAGCACCCCCCCTCCCGAGCCGTCCCCATCCCCACGGCAGCGGTAGTGCGGGGCTGCCCGGCCGCGGGGGGGGTCTGAAAGGCTCCTGCCGGGGGCAGCAGGGCTGGGGCTGCCCCGAGTGACCCCCGGAGCGGGGACGGCTTCTGTGGGCTGAATACAGAGAGGATTTCCCCATCCCCATCCCCTCTTTGTGGCTCCAAACCCCGCTGCCTGCATTTAGACACCCAAGGAAAGATTGAGCCAGGGAGATAGTTCAGAGGAGCCCCCAGGGCCCTTGCTCTGCACCCTCCTTCATGGGAAAGGCAATGTATAAACACAGTATATAATTTATACACCCCTAATCTGATAGTGCACCTCATCACCAGAGATACATGCACCACATAGGTTGCCACTGTGTAACTTGAGGTCTGTTTGGTGGTACACGATACTTGCTCATAAAAATTGTCACAGCAAGGTTCCTCAGAGCTAAAATAGCTCCAAGCCCTAAGGCATCCCAACACTGGGTTATGTCACTTCATACCAGTAAGAGCTTAGCATTTATTGAGCACTTTTAAGCTGTTTATTTTAAAGGCACAGATTCAGACCTTTTACATTTCACCAGGATAATATTGTAAATGTCAGTTTCTACATACCAGCATCTACTTCGAGGTCTCCAGCCTTTTTAAGAAGGGGCAGCTATTAACAGTACTGTTTTAAAGCTAAGCAATTGCTCACTGAGTCCAACCCTGGGAACAAAGGCTGAGGAAATGCAAGTATACTAAGAATAATACCAATAAATGCAAAAACCTCTAGATAATCCATATAAAAAGGAAATCAAACCCAGATTTTTTCCTCTTTCAGTGTCATTTATATGAAATGAACCCCCTGTGGACAGGTTAGTTATAAAGAGCAAAAGCAAAATTACATGTTCTGCAACCACTACTATTAGAAAAAAAAAAACCCAAACCCAACATTTATGGTTGTTTATAATGAGTGAGATTGGGGTCAGATGGGGTCTTCATCAGAGCCCTGGGAGCTGTACGTGGAGGTGTACAATTCGCTGCCAGGCCAGCTACTGTCTACACGCAGTGGGTGGAATTAAAGAGCTATCAGTAGCCAGAGCCAGAATTAAAGAGCTATCAGTAGCTATCAGGGTTGGAAGAAGCAAGGGCACATTTATTTATTAAAGGATACAGATCAGATAATAACAGGATTAAGAGGAAAAGGAAGAAGGAAAGAAGCCTCTTCCCCTGCTCGCAGTGCCAGGAGCACTTCACTGGTTCTCTACAGCCATCCATGAATCCCTGAAACCTGATGCCAGGAGCAGGCGCCTCTCCCACTGCGGTGCTGGGAATATCAGAGTTCCCAGGGCCACAGGGAGGTGGGGGGAGTCCAGGAAAAATCTCTTCCTAACGTTCGGGATAAAAATAGCATCTCAAAGCAAATGACCTTTGCTGGGACATGAGGGTGAGATCCTGTCTTGGAGAGCCTGCCCTGGTCAGCTCAGATATATAACTCCCTTGATACCCTGCTAACCTCCATGTAGTTAATATTGGAGGCAGCAGCGCTTGGTCCAGCCTGTGGCCCAGATTCCCACCATTGAACAGGAGTCGGGCATCAAACAACCCCTCCTTCCTGTCTCTCCAGCTTCCCTGAGACCCCAGGAATGTGAGGACATTCCTTCTCCAGGCAGTACATCCTCCCTTGTGATACCATCATAAAAATGAATGAGAAGTAGCTGCTGAGTGGCTACCTTATTATTGGATGGAATTTGAGGCGTGAATGAAAAGCCACCTGAGAGAAGTGTACTGGGGCTGAAGAACTCACCTAGCTGATATGCAAAGAATACACCAGGCTTAGGAGAGCAATTATTGCCAACTTGCTCCTCAGGAGAAATCAAAGGGGTGTCTCAGCATGCAGTATTAATGAGACTCTAACATCTTCTCTTGTGTTGGTGGAGTGGAATAGGGTTTGGAAATACACTTTAAGCTAAATCAGCTTCTTAATAGAAACCAGAATTAGACTTGGTGAATCTTTACACTGACTCAGTAATTGCTTAAGCCTGCTAGGGAAAAAGGGGTTTGCTTTATTAAAGGCTGAGCCCTGCTTAGTTTGAGCATCTCCATTGGCACCCAGTGTATCCACAGGAGTATAGATAAAGGGATTACACCCTCAAATAAGGCAAATTTTAGGGAAAAAATAAATCCCTGGAATGACAGAAAAAAATGCATGGGGTGAAAATTTGTTATCACAGCAAGGGAAGAGACAGAATGGGCTAGAAAGAAGGGGGAGAGTAGGATGGGTGGGAGACAGCAGAGTGGGCTGGCGTGATTCTGATGGTGGGGTAAGAAATCGGATAGGATTTTCTTTGTCATTAGGCTTTCATTCACAAAATGGATTTTTAATGGATCATATCCTGTTGGCATACAAACAGACTGCCTGAGATCCCTCTGCTCTGGCTGATGATGCCATGCTCTTGAGCTGCAAAGGAGGATTTTGGTTTGAGAAGGGGGTTGGATGGGGTGTGGGCATTAAACTGCTTGGGGTTCTGCTCACCAGGACCACAAAGAGCACTTCTGCTGACAAGGAGAAGGGGGAGAAATAGCAGGGTAGGAGGATACAACAATAAATCCTCTCCGAGGTGTGTGGCTATGGAAGAATCTGCTCCAGCGGAAAAAAGCTGGCAGTTACAGTAGTCAGGGAGCAGCTGGAGAGAGCAACCGACAGTGCAAGTGGGAGCACATGGGAAACAATGGGAGATGAAGCATGAAGAGGAAGAATTAAAACCAAGTGGAAAGCAAAGCAGCCGATGCTGCTGATCTGTCAGTTTAGAGTCGTTATTTTGGATCTGCCCTTCTCTTTGGCTATTGTACTCATTTATTTATCCCTAGCCAGAATCAAATCATTCAGCCTTACTTATTTGTGTAATCTGCCTTTGCTGTTGGTGTTCCTGAATAAGCCATGCACAGGGATGAGACAGGAGCGGGGGCTGGGATGAACAGCTTCTGTTTTCCTGTAAAATACCTATTTAATGTCCTGCAGCCAAAAACTAAACTCGGTGTCAGGCAAAACCTGATTGAGGAAGAAAATGGTAAAGGGCAATATCTTACTCATCAGGTTAAACTTAACAATGTAAAGAGAAATTATGACTACTTGACATTGGTCTGCAATTCTGCAGGCTCATGCACCTCTTCACAACTGTGCCAAGTGAAATGGAGAAAGGATGAAGGGTCAGCACAGGGGTACCCGAGTGTCACAGAAACTGTGTGCAGGCTTCCACTGACTTATTGCCCATCACTTCCCCTAATGGCTGGGAATAGGATTATTAGATTAAGCTACAAGTGGTTTAATACCCCTGGATGCAAACTGCAGTCAGCTAATAAAGTGGTTTTAACATGTAAATAATTAGGGGTAAATATAGTGCTGATTTTTTATAGGTAAGAAGAATTCTGCAAGTCATGCTGTCATTAGAAGTCCCTCACAAAGCTGTGACTGCAGTCGGTAGCTGTATGAGTGAAGTGATTAGTATCTTGCCTGTGCTCCTTATTCGACAGGACCAAAAATACACCCTTAAAAATACACTCCTTGAATATAGGTTTCAGTCCTTTAAACTGCTGTACAGGAGATGATCCATCCTACATAGCTGCTAATTTGAGAGCTGCTTGGTTTGCATTGCAGAAGCAACACATGTTTTGTTTAGAGGTTCATTTGTGTGTTGTAATTACAAACCCCACAAGACTGTTAAGGCCTGATTTTGAGGCACGCTTAGTGTGAAATGTAGAAAAGGCATCCTCCAAAGGTGGGGAATCAAAATGAAAGCTGGAACCTCTGCCCTCGCTTTGTGTGCACTGCAGGTCTCTGGCACTAGAGGGCACAGCCCATCCCTGCCAAATTCCCTTTCTCCGGGGTTATTATCAATTTTTAGCCGTTTTCCCCTTTATCACGAGAAGGTTTTCTATAACCACTTGTCCCTTTTTATCTCTGCTGCCCAGTATTGGTTTCTAAATAAAAGTTTCCTGTGCTGAAATAGAATTAGTCCAATTTTCGCTCTGGAATCACTCACATCACGAGAATAAACTTTGGTGGTTTATACCCCAGACAGGCACATGGCTGCAGCACTGGAAGGGAAATCCTGTCCTTGTCACTGTGAGGACAGACAGATAACGAGTCCGTTATGGTATGGCATTTCCTATTTTAATGCTGGATGACTACATGTAACCATATTACTGTTCATGAAATGCTGGTCACCATGGTAGTAACAGGGTTTTAATGATGGAAAATGTAAGTAAAAGGCTTCTTAAAGGCAAAGGTTCTAAGCTTTGAAATTTAATGTGCATAAAAATCTGAATAAGACAACATTATACGTTTTCTCCTCATGGAATTCTGGTCTTAATTATGAGAAGTCCCTTACCATTCATTTTCTCATTTCTAATACTAAAGATGACTGCATAATCTACTTTACAAACTCAGCATCACTGTACCAGGACTGAATAATACAGCCAAAAGATAGAGCTATTCCGTCATGGTGAGAGTGGTGCTTTATTTTGGTGGCCAAACTGGAAGCATTGACTGGAGAAGAGTTATTATCGTGCAGCCCAGTTTTCTTGCTGCTTTGCAATCGACAAAGCATCATTTATCATCCTTTGCATCCCAATTTTTCTTTGCATGTTTTCCAGCTCATCATAACATAATTATGTTCCTGTTTCTTCCAGCCAGGGGCTGCTACTTTCTTTTCCTAAGACAACAGCTGCACTGCACAACCTTGATGAATCCCCATAAGGGTAAAACGTGTCTGTGGTGCTTGTTTCTGCCTTGGCAACCCGACTGTTCGAGCTCTCTTTTTCATGACAAATGCTGCTCTAAAATGCACCCAACCCCGATGCTTTCACAGCGCTTCTCAAAACGAGGGTTTACGTTGTAATTTAGACTTGAAATATTAAACACTCTGGCTGCTTTGTAATTGTAAAGACTCCTTCTGTCACATTTCTTTTTATACCGTGTAGAGGTCCATAAACGCCAAGATGGGATTTTAGAGGCCACAGTTACTGATGTGCAATTTAGGTTTTGAATGAAACCGATTTCGTGGGTGAAACTCAGCCCAATCTGGAAGCCCTAAAAGGCATCTGAAGGGAGCTTTCATGGCACAGGTGAATCATTTCCTGGTTTGCCCTCAGCTGGTTCAGCCACAGTGCTACGCAAAGGTAATTATACCAACCTCATCTATTCATTAACTACTTGTGGTGGAAAATGCTGTAAGAGCCACACAGTATTTCTGTTACTACTTACTGGGATATTTCATTTAATGCTGATTTTATATTTGCAACATCAGATTTCAAAGAACTTTGGAAAGTAAAGATTTTGTTTTAGACGGGGAAATCAGGACAGGGAAAAGTAGGGCTCAATGCAGGAGGCAAGCTGAGGGCAGAATCCATTCCTAATGCTACTGATCTTATTTACCCAATTATACCATTGCTAACTCATCTCATCTGGAAATCTATCATCAGAGCACTGCAAACAACCAAAGCAGTAACTTTTCCAGTCGTTAAAGACTACCCAGATTTCCAGCTGTAGGGAATATTGTGTCCTGGGCAAAAGCACAGCCCAGATAGCTACATTCTTCAGAGCAGAATTTTCCCTACAGTTTTGCTTTCTATCCTAATCTCCTGGCTGTTATTCCTGCTGCCACCATCAATTCAGGATTGGTTGGGTTTATATATAAAAATCACAATCATTCTGCACAGAGAGGCAAGCGTTTTAACTCATATGATCAGTCCTCTTTACAGGTATACATGCCATGATTTAAGGATGCTTTGGGATATCAGAGCATGTCGCAACCTTTTAGTTGTGTCCACCACACTGGTTACTGATGGCATTGCCTGGAGGACTCTTAGATGTTGATGGAAACTATACCTGCCCAGCCAGGACTAACTTCATCTTCTACCCATGAATGGTGAGTACAACTGCTGCTGCTAGAAAAGGTAGCAGGCTCATTGGTTTGAATACACAATGAATGCACAGCCCATCGGAAGAGCTTGTCTTGTGCCATTTGTTCCCTATAACCGCTATAACCTGGCAGCTTCTGCTCAGATGTGTTTTAGCTTTTCTCTCATGTATCTTTGGTTTCTTCCTCGGTCCGCTCACACATGTTCAGGGCGAGATGTGCGTTTTCTCTCTGATTCACGTACAGTAATTACTTCCTAACATCTGCCTAACAGATTCTGTAAGAAAAATAACTCTGCAAATATTAAGGAAAAAGACATTAATGTATGAAATCTTTGAAATCTCTATTACGGGGGTTTGTTATCCACAGCTGACTGGATTCATTCCCAGCCAGGAAGCTGGATCAGCAAAACAGCTGCATTAGTTATTTAACTGGAGGCCTGATTCTGCTCTTGCTCACACTGATGTAAAGCAGGAGGAGTACCAGAGAAAATAAAGAATATCCCTAGTGCAGAATGCATGTTTGAGGAAAACTAAGTGTTATGGTAGGGAACAACAGGAGAACTTTAGCAGATGTTCTGCCACCCTGGAATAGTTGTGGCTTAGTGTCTTACAGAAACCTCGTGCCAAATACATGCTCCTGGGAGTGTTCTCCTGTATATATATTGTCGTGGCACCAAATGCCCAACAAAATTAAGGCTCATTTATGCTCAGTGTTGCTCCTTAGTGCCATGAATTCGCATGTGACCTACTCTGAACTGAGCATCACGTTCATTACTGTTTGCATGATTGTTCCCTCTCAGTTATTTAACTTTTACAATATTTGCTGCAATTTCCTTTATCCCTTCTGGTGCAGGGAAGCACTCGCTGCTTTTCCTCCTAGCCTGAATTAATGCTTGTATTAATTAGCCTAGAAGTATACTTGGAGAAGGGGGATGCGAAATGAGGAGCGCTGCGGTGAAAAAGGGGGCAAAGCATCCCTATGCAAAGTATTTCCTCTGCAAGATGACAACGCTATATATCTCAGGACAACAAAGGATTGTTACCAGAGCCTCATGTACTTCGGAGATGGACAGCTTCAATCCTCAAGTCCATCAGCACCCTTTGTATTTGATCTCATGGTGAATTAGCAGCATGTGCTGTTAATAACATCAAAAGTTACTGCGTCTGAGAGCTCACCCACAACTCTCATCCTGTTCCTCCAACACAAGATATCTATTATATCTTGGCTACAGTCGTGGGTTCTCATGCAGTGAAGGTATCTGAGGTTTGGTTTGGACTTTGGAGCCAAGAGCATCTGCAGTTGCTGTGGGCTGGTAACGTCGGGTCAGGTTCCTGTTACAGACCCATCGGTGGGGCTTCCTGAACTCGTAGGAACCTCCCAGTTCACTGTACTATGCTTTGATACCAGAATATGTTTATTATTGTTACTTGTTGGCTTTTCCTAGTATATTCCTGAATTTTCTCTGGAGTTACAGTAACTTTTTAAATGGTTAAATGGTTTAAATGGGATGGGGTTACAGCAGCATCCATGCTTTGGTTTAAAACAAGGATAAACTCCTAGGCATTGAATTTTGGGGCTCATTCTGAAATGAGACAAAGATGAAACCAATCCTACAAGGTCTGCATGAGTCCAAAACTTCCCTCTGCAGCCCAGTTTGGACACATACCCCAGACTGAACCCACGATTCCATAGAATCATCATCACAGAATCCCAGCCTGGTTTGGGTTGGAAGGGACCTTAAAGCTCATCCGGTTCCAACCCCTGCTGTGGGCAGGGACACCTTCCACTAGAGCAGCTTGCTCCAAGCCCCGTCCAACCTGGTCCTGAATACTGCGGGCCACAACTTCTCAGGCAACCTGTTCCAATGTCTCGCCACCCTCACCATGGCTCATCTGCCTCCACCTCTGCCCCCAGCTTCTGATCTCTTCAGCAATATGTTCTGCAGCAAACAAGGATTTCTGGGGCAGCTTCAGTAGGATCAGAACGATATCCTGGTGCTGCTTTGTGAGTGTGATCGATTCATTCAGCACAGCGCCCTGTGGCCATTCATATCTCCCTGATGATCAAATATATCTTGAATTATCAATCTGAAGTGGTTTTTTTTCCCCACTAGACAATACCCAAATGTATTGAAAGAGCCGTTGGGATTGAGCCAGAGAATTTGGCAGCGAGATATGGAACATTTGGGCTTTCAACGCTTAGGAACATATGGAAAGAGGTTTGGAAGATTGCCACATGGGGTGGAACTTGGAAGATACTGCATTTCATCCTTCTTTTGTGAACAGAGGTAGAAGAAACTTTATCTTTTGGGGGGAATCCTCATTCCGTTCATTTCCTATGATGTGCTGCTGCTCCAGAATAAACCACTCTGCAAGGTGTGAACAAAATCAGCTGCTTGTTTATGGGCAACTAACTCATAAGGTCCCTCGCAGGTGAACTCTGGGAGGTGGAAACCAGCCTGGGGCTGCTTGGGAATTGGGCATCACTCTCAGACACTGCATTCTGGTTATAGCCTGAGTGTTTCTTGCCACAAGTTCATTGTGGTTCTTTATCTTGCACTTTCATGTGACGGTTCGTTTCAACACATGCAGCCAAATAATGGTGAGACAGGGCAAGTTCCTGTTGTTTCTTTGCTAACAGCAGGCTGGGGGTCAGCAACGTATCTCTAGCTAAGGAAAGGAGTAAGTGAAGGCGAAGAAGATGACATCCAAGAACAGGAACTGAGCAGGGAGGAACTGCTCAGAGTGGAGGAAAGAGCATCTCCTCCAAAGGTATTCAAAGACCTGCAGCAATATCTCTTAAGGACCGACTGTGTAAGTCAGGAAAGCAAAAGGAAATGGGCAAATGCCAAATCATTTGAATGGGATTTCTTTTAGAATGAAATATCTGCCTTTCTGAATAAAGCCTGGAAAAAAAACAGGTGAGTTTCAAGCATTTCTTAAGCCTTATATCCTGTGTCTGCAGCATCTCTGAGCCAGCTAAAATCCAATTTACAATGTTTCTGATATTTTCCTTCTTCTCACAACACATACTGTGAGAAACATCAGTTGTTTCTGCTTTCTGTGACCATAATGGCCCCAAGTTCCGCAAGTGGGTACGTATTTTCCTTCCTGAGTTTCACTTTTGGTGCCCATTTAGAAATCGTTTTGACCCTAACACAGTTATAACCATCATTTTCTTAGATTAAAAAGCACCAAAACTAATGTACAGAACAACCTCTCCGTAAATCCCATCTGTTCCATGCTTCTCTGCATCTCCATTCCCATCTCTACTGATCTAAAAGGAATAGAAATGCTCTTCTATCAGCCCATTCCTTCTGTCTGATTCACTGACAGGTACCCCAGGTAGCTTCACACTGGGACAGTTTCATTTGCAGAGAAAAATACCGGTGGATGTTGAGTTCCTGGATTGTGGCACCGCTGCAAAAACATCAGGTTCCTCTTTATACCAAAGGGCCAGCAGTACATCCTTGAGCAGGCTGTCTGTTCATTGGAAATCAGGGAATATTTTGCCTAAAAGCATCTGGCAGTGCAGAATAACTCAGTAATAACTGATTATCAGGGCAGCAGGAGGCAAGCCCCAGCAGAAAGGCTGTAGGTGCAGTTAGAAGCCCTGGTGAGTAGTTGACTTTGAGGGCTTTCTTTTGCCCTTTTTCTTTACTTTAAGACCCCCTGAATTTGATGGAGACTCTTTCATGTGAAAGACCGAAAGAACGACAAATTAAGCAGCATCCAGCTCCTAATGTGTGAAGCTGCAATTTGCATACATCACGGCAGCTGCTGAGCCGGGCCCTATTACCTCCGCTGGAGTGTTAATTTAGCCCCAACTTCCTCATTTATTGAAATGAAAAAGCAGCGGGGGGCTGGCACGCCCCGATGGCTGTCAGGAAACCTGGGAACCCTCTCGACAGAGCCAGGAAGAGATTTCGATTCCAAGGGAATGCATGGGAGCTGCCCCCAGGATCGGTGGCCATGGGCGAGCACGGGATTGCCCTTAGTCCGCTCCAAAGGGCAACA